GATTTTAAAAACTAAAAGTAAGTTGCACATATCAGATCATGCCTTTAATCCCAGCACTCAGCTCTGTGGGTCCCTTTTGAAGAGAAAATGTAGCTACATTCCTCAATTGGTTGTAATAGGGTTCTCTAGTATGTCATCTAGTACCACATTCAGGAAAATAGGATTGTTATTTTAGATTTCATTGTATGAGTATTTTTCCTACATGTATGTATGTATGTACACGTGTGTGCCTTTTACCTTTGCAGGTTAGAAGAGGACACTGGATCATTTGGAACTAGAGTTACAGATGGCTATGAGTCACCATATGGGTGCTAGGAATTGAACCTGGATCCCCTGAAAGAACAACTTAACCACTTAGCCATCCCTTCAGCCCCTGGAAAATAGGATTTCATTCTAGAAAAATGAAAACAGTAATTTTCTAGAGTCTGACAGCTGTTGGAGTACTTAATAATACCTAGTAAGTTCCTCTGTAAATTATTTTAAGCTGGCCCAGGGAGCCATTGAGGATATGCAGTTAAGGAAAACATTACACATACATACCACAGATAACCTATAATGAACTAGATTTAATTTTTCCACAATGGAATATATACTTAGAATCATCATGTTATTGTAATACTAGCACGTAGGAGGCTCAGGCAAGAGGATTGCCATCTTCTCTGAAAAATAAAGAAAGACTTAACAAGAGATCAAAGTGATAACATTTAAAAATTGTATAGGTAAAAGCGGACAATCACACAAGTAATTCTGAGCATGGTCAGTGGATGAGTCTTGAAAGCATTATGTTGAGGGGAAATACTATCTGATTCCATATGCATGAGGGAGGTGTCTGCTGTAATCATCTCCACACAGTCAGAAAGAAGAAGGGAGACTGGGGATTATCATTTTAGGGGTATAATTTTCAGTTTGGAAAAATGAAAAAGTTGGGAAATGGAATGGATGGTTGCAACAGTTGCAATGTATGTCTCAAAGTGGTTAATATGGCAAAATTTTTAACTATGTGTGCTTTATCATAATAATAAGAAGTAACAATACCTACGTAAAATTCCATAAGATTGGTTTGGGATTTTTTTCAAAACTCTAAATCTAATGTGAGTACTGTGATGTTCTATGTACTTTGGGAGTTTCTATTTAACTGCCTTTAGTTCCTACACTGTGAAATAGTATTTAATGTTATTTATCCAATCAGAATATCAGGGTCCCTGTACACAGTGTTGCCCTCAGAGCCTTAACCTTATTAAGTGTTCAGTAACTTTTGTTGGATGATAAAGACTTAAATCACTGTTTTATTTTTATAATTTCAAATTCTCCTGAAAACAGACAAGTTAAGCTGGGTGTGGTGGCACACACCTTTAATCCCAGCACTTGGGAGGCAGAGGAAGAGGCAGGTGGCTCTCTATGACTTCCAAGTCAACCTGGTTTACATAGCAAGTTTCAGGCCAGGCAAGACTATATAAGAAGGCCCACACCTCCTGGTGCTTTACCAGAGGCCAAGTGGGCCCTAGGGACTCCAGGTAAGACTTTGCCTGCAGCCTGCTAACACCACTTAAGCCTGCCCAACAACCCCAGACTGCACTCCATTTCCCTGGGCTCCATATTCTGGCAAACAACTTTGGCAGAAGACTTATGTTTTACCAGAGGCCAGGCTGGACCCAAGATAAGACATCACCCACCACCTGCTAACATTTATTTTTAAGCCTGAATAACAACCCCAGACTGCACCCCCTCCCCTGGAGTCCATATCCCTGCCCAAACCTTCAGCTGCCAGGCCTGATCTAGGGACCTAAGGTAATCCCAGCTTGTCACTGGTCCCACTGCTGGGTCCTGCCCCCAACCCAGTGGACTTTTGCCACTCAGGGGCAGGCCACACCAGTCAGAACAGAACCAGTGAGTGACCTGGAAAAACTGCACAATTCCCTAAATTCTGTATCCCAAGACCTTTCCCACAGCTCACTCTATCCCAGTTCATCGCTGGCCCCTCTGCTGGTCTCTGCCCCCAATCCATGGACTTCCACCACTCAGGTGCAAGCCACACCAGTCAGAACAGGCACAAGCCACACCAGCTTGATCAGGCTCCAGCTGCTCAGGTGCAGGTCACATCAGTCAGAAGAAGGGTGCAGGCCATACCAATCAGAAGTATAGAGACCCCCTGCTGTACCAAAGGCCAAACTAACCACTAGAAGGCCAAATCCCAACTTAGATAGAAATTCCCAATTAGACCAGAGGTTATGCCAGCCACTAGAAATCCAGGCCACAAAGAAGAGAAAACCAAAGAGGAAACAGAAACCAAGGAACAAAACACTTATCCAACAAAGACAAACTCAGAAATCAAGGACTAGAACTAAGCATCTCAAACCCAGATACCTAAACAACAGTGTAAAAATACAATCAACAACAGCCAGGGCAATATGTCACCACCAAAGCCCAGCTACTCTACAACAGCAAGACCTGAACATTCCAACGCAGCTGAAGCACAAGAAAATGAGCTTAAAAACAACTTTATGAAGATGATAGAAGTCCTTAAAGAGGAAATGAAAAACTCCCTTAAAAAAATCGAGGAAAAAACCAACAAAAAATTAAGAGGAAATCACAAATCCCTTAAAGAAAGCCAGGAAAAAAAAAAAAACAAACAGGTGAAGGAAACTATTCATGACATGAAAATAGAAATAGAAGCAACAAAGAAAACACAAACTGAGCAAATTTAGGAAATGGAAAATCTGGGTAAGTGAAGAGAAAGAAATGGAAGAGAGAATCTCAGGCACTGAAGATACAATTGAAGAAATAGATTCATCAGTTAAAGAAAATGTTAAATCCAAAAAACTCTTAACACAAAACATCCAGGAAATCTGGAACACCATGAAAAGACCAAAAACTAAGAATAATAGGTATAGAAGAAGGAGAAGAATCTCAGCACAAAAACCCAGAAATATACTCAACAAAATCACAGAAGAAAATTTTCCTAACATAAAGAAAGAGATGCCTATAAAGGTACAAGAAGCTTACAGAACACCAAATAGATTGGATCAGAAAAGAAAGTCCTGAGTCACTTAATAACCAAAACACTAAACATACAGAATAAAGAAAGAATATTAAAAGCTGCAAGGGAAAAAGGCTATGTAACATATAAAGGTAGACCTATTAGAATTACACCTGACTTCTCAATGGAGACGCTAAAAGCCAGAAGGGCCCTGGATAGACGGACGTTTCGCAGATACTAAGAGACCACAGATGCTATCCTAGACTACTGTACCAAGCAAAATCTTCAAACACCATAAATGGAGAAAATAAGATATTTCATGACAAAGTCTGTAGTTTGGAATTTTCTTTGCACCGTCAATCAGCGCCCAAATAAGGACACAGAGACTCATTAGTAATTATAAATACTCAGCCTAGCTTAGGCTTATCCCACTAGCTCTTTTAACTTAATTTAACCTGTTTCTATTCATCTATGTTTTGCTTTGGAGCTTTTTACCTTTATTTAATTCTGTATGTTCTACTTTCCTGCTTCCTCCTTGTCTGTCTGTCTGGCCCCTGGTACCTCCCTAGCGTCTTTTTTTTCTTTTCCCCGCCCCCAGCCTAGATTTCTCCACCTACTTACTATCCTACCTATACCTCCTCCTCCCTTGCTGTTGGCTATTCAGCTTTTTATTAGACCAATCAGGTTCCTTTAGGCAGGCAAGGTAAAATAGTAACACATCTTTACATAATTAAACAAATGCAGCACATCTTAACATAGTTAAACAAATGCAATGCATCTTTGCATAGTTAAACAATATTCCGCAACATTTCCCCCTTTTTGTCTAAGTAAAAAGAAAAGTTTAGCTTTAACATAGTAAGATGATATACACAAGAACAATTATCAAGTAAGAATTACATTTACAATATCCAGTCCATTACATTTGACAAATTCAGAGAAAATACTCCATTATCTATCCTATCTTGGTGAGTCCAAAGTTGTTTACCTAATTTACTTTCTATCCTAACCTGTATTACCAACCCCAAATTATCTTTTAGACCTCAAAACATTTTTTAGATAAACAATTTAAGCTTTTGTTTTTCAACCTTATAAACATTATATCTCTTATGTAAGTTTCTTCCCTAAATTTGGTAACAAGGAAAACTACAACTATCCCATTTTTCAACTCCATCAGAGACCCAAGAAGGATATAATATTACCTGAGTAAACAGTAAATGCAGAGCAAGAAACTTCCATAACCATATAAATGACAAAGACATCTGGCTGCCTGGACCCAAGGTTCCTCTGCAATGTTAGAGCATCCATCTTTGGCCTACAGGCCTCGAATATCTGACAGACTTTTCTATGTAATAGCAATTTTGAAGAACTGGATCACCTTGTCTTAGCAAAGTTCGGCAGTCTTTTTCTTTTGTGTTCTGTTTGTCTAGTTTGTCCAGTATACTGTCAGCAGTTGAGACAGGGCAGTTTCTTACCCTAATGGCTAACTTTGCCACAATGAAAGCAAACTCAATATGGAGGTTTGTGGATTCCCATCATCATCCTTTTATGAAGTAGTGCTTCCAGGAGCAGATGTGTCTTACCTTAATGAAAAGCCATAGGTATTGAACATCTTAAAAGCCATATTCTGTAGATCTCTGAAGTGTTTGATGATCTCCTGTCTATCTAAACTATACATGTTTAACCTTGAAAACATGCCTAACATGACTGACTATAAGTATGTAAGTATGATTGTTATAGATGACTACCAACCTGCATTTCTTAATTATCTTAAACAGTTTGTAATAATAGCTTTCAAGGACTAGGTCTTTATATTACATTTTAAAAAGAGCTGCATAGGTACACTGTCTTAAACAAGAGTAGAAATATATATACGGCATAACAAAAATAACCTTAAATTTGTATCAATATACAAAAATTCATACCAATATAAAATGTTTGAGATGAATAGTTGTCTTTTTATCCTATATACCCATTAAATGATGACAAACATCCATAACCCACCAAATGACCAAAAACGACCTACCCCATCTTGGGAATGTGGGCATTGTGTTTTCTAGACTGCTTCCTGTTGTCTGGGGTTGATGGCATCCACAATAGACCCTGAGAAAATTGAGATAATGGTCAAGTCCTATGAAAACTAGCTGTAACATTTGTTGTCCAGTCTCTTTGTAATGGGAAATTGTAAGGCTTATCTAAAGTCCTGGCTAGAATAATCCATGAGGCTGAACCATTTCAGCTAGTAGCCTTGAAGTTGTTCTGAATGTAGAACTCTGAGGAAACTGCAGCAAAGGCACTCTGAAAGGCTGCATCACCTGGGCCAACCATTTTCATTGGTGTCTGGTTCCCTTGCTCTGAAAACACATAAACTTTCAAAGGTAACATACATATCTGTATTAACACAAGTATGGACTACATGTTGTAAACAAGCCTGCCAAAGGTAATTTTTTGTTTTATGTTTGAGTAGGTAAAAGACATCCGTCAACTTTATAAGTTTGTTTGGACTTTATAACCAAATCTCCATCCATGCCATATGAAAGGATGGCATGTGATAAAAGGCATGGGGACTCTGTAGCCAACAATATTTATCATGGCTCATCCATTCTCATAGCTGTTCCCATGTCAAGGGATCAGCATATACATCACCTGTCTTGTAGTTTTTCTAGGTTTATTTCATTATGTCTGTAGCCAATATTTTCAGGGTGTCTTCCCCAACCAAATCTGGTTTTTATTAATTTTGAAGTAATTTACAGCCTGTCATTTCCTGTAGAAGCAAAAGCATAACCTCTCAACCAATGCAATACATCTTCTGAATTCCATTTTAAAGTTAATACATCCCTAAAGTATCTAGGCTGGTTTAATTCAGCAGTTCCTTTTACACTCCTATGTTTCTCAGCAGCTGCCGTTCATTCAGAAGCATTCAAAAAATTCAAAGTCAACAAAACACCATATAGAATCCAGACTCACCATGGATTTCTCATCATTACATGGCTTATTCTTTTCATATTACTTTACTCTTTCTTTAAAGACTTTACTTAATTATTTTTAAGCTAATTTTTCCTATGATTGTCTATACCCATTTTCTTTCCTTTCCTTAAGCACCTACACACACTGTAACCTGTTTAAAGGTTTTTTTCAATCTGGATCTGTTTTACTGTGCACCTGTAGAGTTCTCTGACCACATGAGCCAAACCTTAAACTGCTAAGGGCTAGCTAGGCCCTCTACTTTGCAGCTTTGGTGGTTGGCTCCACCCCCTCCTCAGGTCCCTGAGAACCAAGCCTTAAGCCTGCAGCTCTGGCCTAGAGCTGTGTTTAACTGCCCCTGCTCTAGGAAGTTGGTGCCTGCACTAAGGCAGGCATTTTTACTTAGCTTGCTGTTTCTACTTAGCGTGTCAGCTGCTCAAGCGCTCTGCTGCACAGCAGTGCCTCTTAAAGGAGCCATATCCTTTTTTAAAAATCATCTTTCTCAGGCCCTATGTGGAAATTCGTGCCCCATGTTTGGTGCCATTTGTAGTTGGAATTTTCTTTGGGCTGCTAACCAGCTCCCAAATAAAGACACAGAGACTTATTATTAAGTATAAATGCTTGGCCTACAAGTGGAGGGAGGGACAGAGAGGGAGAGCAATGAAAGAGATATATTGGTAGAGGGAGCCATTGGGGGTTAGGAAGAAACCTGGTACTAGGGAAATCCCAGGAATGCACAAGGATGTCCCCAGCTAAGATGCCAGGCAATAATGGAGAGGGTGCCTGAATTTACCCTCCCCTATGATCAGATTAATGACTACCCTAATTGTCATCATAGAAGCTACATCCAGTAACCGATGGAAGCAGATGCAGTGATCCACAACCAAGCACTGGTCTGAGCTCCTAGACTACAGTTGAAGAGAGGGAGGAGGGATCACAGAAGCAAGTGAGGACAAGATCATGATGGGGAAACCCACAGAGACAGCTGACCCAAGCTGGTGGGAGCTCATGGAGTCTGGCCTGTCAGCTGGAGAACATGCATGGGACTGAACTAGGCCCTCTGAATGTGTGTGACAGTTATGTGGCTAGATCTGTTTGGAGAGCCCCATGGCAGCGGGACCAAGACTTATCCCAGGTGCATGAAATGGCTTTTTGGAACACATTCCCTAGGGTGGGATACCTTGCTCAACCTTGATACAGGGGGAAGGGGATTGATCCTGCCTCAACTTAGTATGCCAGACTTTGTTGACCCCCCAAGGGAGGACTTACCCTCTCTGAGGAATGGATGGGGGGTTGGGATGGGGGACGTGGGGGAGGGGGAGAAGGGGAGGGAGGGGGAACTGGGGTTGGTATGTAAACTGAAAGAAAACATTAAAAATAAATTTTTTAAAAAGTTTTTAAGGAAAAAATAAATGCTTGGCCTAGTTTAGGCTTATCCCACTAGCTCTTTTAAATTAATTTAACCTGTTTATATTCATCTACATTTTGCCTTGGGGCTTTTTACCTTTATTTCATTCTGTATGTCCTATGCTTTTGCCTTGTCTGTCTGGCTGACCCTGGGCATCTTCCTGGGCTCTCATTATTTTTCTTCTTCCCTCAAGCCTAAATTCCTCCTCCTCCTTACTGTCCCTTCCCGGAAGTCCCACCTATATCTCCTCTCTCACTGTTGGCCATTGAGCTTTTTATTACACCTATCAGGTGCCTTAGGCAGGCAAGGTAAAACAGCAACACATTTTTACATAATTAAACAAATGCAACACATCTTTACATAGTTAAACAAATGCAGCACATCTTTAGATAGTTAAATATTCCACAAAGAAAGTCAAATTTAGAAAGTATCTATCCATAAATCCTGCCCTACAGAAGATACTAGAAGGAAAACTCCAACTCAAGCAAGTTAACTACACCCATAAAAACATGGATAATCTCACACAGCAAAATCCAAAGAAGGGAAACACACACACACACACACACACACACACACACACACACACACACACACACTCATCACCAACATAGTAACAGGAATTAACAATCAGTGGTCATTAATATCTCTTAATATCAATGGAATCAACTCAACAATAAAAAGACACAGATGGCACATGCCCGCCGCCGCCGCCCTCAACGCCGGAAGTGTCCACTCGCCTTCTACTGGCATGGCGACATCCTCCCAATATCGCCAGCTGCTGAGTGACTATGGGCCACCATCACTAGGCTACACCCAGGGAACTGGAAATAGCCAGGTGCCTCAGAGTAAATATGCAGAGCTGCTGGCCATCATTGAGGAGCTGGGGAAAGAGATCAGACCCACATATGCAGGGAGCAAGAGCGCCATGGAGAGACTAAAACGAGGCATCATTCATGCCCGAAGCCTGGTTCGGGAGTGCTTGGCTAGCCCCTGGCCAATGTGAAGGCCCATCTCGCTACCCCATGGAGATGAGAGGCTTTGTTCAAGATGGCAGTAGCTTTCCTGCCTTGGTCATTAAGCTCTGAATCCACTTTCATAAGATTGGAAGACATTTTTCAGTTACTGATGATGTGCATTTTAAGTAGTTAGGAACGATCCAGATCTTTTTTTTTCCCAAGCATTGATTTGAAAGATGTTTGTGAAGCCACTGCACAGCAAGCTATTGTTTGCCCCCAAATACCAGTGTCCCCTTTAATCTCCCTTTGGATACATTTGCCATGTGCATCACCCCAGTCGACTTCCTGTCCATGAGCTCACCTGCGTCTGCGGACTCGAGTGCAAGCCACAGCGTGTTTGCTTAGTAGATGGCCGGCCTGTGTGCAGTGTAGACCCTGCTTCATGAGCTTCTCTGCTTACGCGTTTGCATGACTGAGTGCTTTGAAGTCAGTCTCAAAAACGCACAAGTTATAAATACAGAAGAAAGAGCAATCTACCCAGCCTACCAAGCGCCCTGCAAATGTCCATCCTGAGACTGTAGATCTCAGTTCCGTGTTTACTGTGAGACGATCACAACATCTGGAAGAAAATGACTGAAACTTGCATCTTTGTATTTATTACTTGATGTAATAGAGCTTATTTTCATTAAAAAAAAGACACAGGCTAACAAAATGGATATGAAAACAGGATCTGTTCTTTTGCCACATACAAGAAACACACTTCAACATCAAAGATAGACATGACCTCAGAGTAAAGGGACCTAACAAGCAAGCTGGTGTAGCTATCCTAATATCTAAAAAAAATAGACTTTAAACCAAAATCAATCAAAAAAGAGGGAGAAGGACATTTCATACTCATTAAAGGAAAACAAATCCACCAGGATGACATCTCAGTTCTGAACAGCTATGCCCCAAATGCAAGGGTACCCACATTTGTAAAAGAAACATTATTAAGCTTTTAAGCTTAAATCACACACCAAACCCCACATGTTAATAGTAGGAGACTTCAACACCCCATTCTCACCAATGGACAGGTCATCCAGGCAGAAACTAAACAGAGAAATAATGGAACTAACAGATGTTATGACTCAAATGGACCTAACAGATATCTACAGAACATTTCACCCAAACACAAAAGAATACACCTTCTTCTCATCACCTCATGGAACATTCTCCAAAATTGACCACATACTCAGTCACAAAGACAAGTCTCAACAGATACAAGAAAATTGAAATAGCCTCCTGCAGATTATCAGACCAATATGGATTAAAGTTGGATTTCAACAACAGAAATAACAGAAAGCCTGCAAACTCATGGAAACTGAAGAACTCTCTAGCACTGGGCCAGGGAAGAAATAAGAAAGAAATTAAAGACTTCCTAAAATTCAATGAAAATCAAGCCTAACATACCCAAACTTATGGGACCAAATGAAAGTGGTGCTGAGGAAAATTGAAAGCACTAAGTGCCTACATAAAGAAATGAGAGAATTCTCATACCAGAGACTTAACAGCACAACTGAAAGCTCTAGAACAAAAGGAAGCAGACAATCCTAAGAGGAGTAGATAGCAGGAAATAATCAAATTGAGGGCTGAAATCAATAAAAAGGATCAAAGACAACAACACAAAGAATCAATGAAATGAACAGTTGGTTCTTTGAGGAAACCAACAAGACAGATAAACCCTTATCCAAACTAACTAAAATTCAGAGAGAGATAGAGCATCCAAATGAACAAAATCAGAAACAAAAAGGGGGACATAACAACAGACACTGAGGAAATCCAGAGAATCATTAGGTCCTATTTCAAAAAGCTGTACTCTAGAAAGTTGGAAAATCTAAAAGAAATGGAAAATTTTCTCAATAGACACCACTTACCAAAATTAAATCAAGATTAGATAAACAATTTAAATAGATCCATAACTCCCAAGAAAATAATAGAAGCAGTCATTGAAAGTCTCCCAACACCCCCCCCCAAAAAAGCCCAGGGCCTTCAAATTATTCCACAAAATAGAAAGAGAAGGAACATTTCCAAATTCATTTTATGAGGCCACAATCACCCTCATACCCAAACCACACAAAGATAACACAGAAAGGTAATCGCAGACCAATTTCTCTCATGAACATAGATGCAAAAATACTCAATAAAATACTCACATACTGAATCCAAGAACACATCAAAAAGATCATCAACCATGATCAAGTAGGTTTCAGCCCAGAGATGAGGGGATAGTTCAACATATGAAAACCTGTCAACATATCCACCATATAAACAAACTGAAAGAAAAAATCCACATGATAATCTCATTAGATGCTGAAAAAGCCTTTGACAACAATCCAACACCCCTACCTGATAAAAGTCTTAGAGAGATCAGGGATATAAGGGACCTACCTAATCATAATAAAGGCAAATTCCATGACCCATTTCTTCTATCCTTAACTTTAAAGCTAGAACCATGTGGCCGAAGCTGCCAAGTTCTGCTGCTTGCTGGGGCTGGAACATGGCCCCCTTGTTCAATTATATCTTCACCAGCTTTCTATCCTTCACTGCCTAAGCTTGGCTGTCCTGAAACTTGCTCTGTAGAGCAAGTTGGCCTCAAACTCAGAGATCTACCATCCTTTTCCTTCCAAGTGCTGGGATTAAGGTGTGTACCACCACATCTGGCTCTAAGCTTTTCTTTAGTTACTTTTCACAAATTGGAAATTTAGCTGGGTGGGATGTTGCCCTGAGGTCATCACTCCCTTTATTCCATTTCTTAATCTGTTTATCTCCTTGAACACAGGATTTAGCTACATTCCACTTCCTGGTGCCCCTTTTCTCAATCTGTACATTTTGTATTTTTATGTGCTCAGCTTGCTCCTTTTCATTATAAATCTTCATTAGAGTTACCACTAATAACCACAGGACAGAGTGATTAATTAATTCCTCTACCAAAAGAATTAATCCAAAACTCTTCACTTTAGCCTCAGACAGACTTTTCAGACAAGGGCAAAGAGCAGCCACATTCTTCACCAAAACATCATAAGAATGATCTCTAGGCCACATACTAAAATTCTTCTCCTCTGAAACCTCTTGAGCCAGCCCCCAACTGTTCAAATAACTCTTAGCACCACTATCTTCCATGCTCCTATGAGTATGGCCCATTAAGCAGTGCTTAAAGCATTCCACTGCTTTTCTAATCCACAGTCTCAATGTCCATATTCCCTTAAACAAAAACATGCTCAGGCCTATTACAGCAATGCCCCATCCCCTGGTACCAACTTCTATTTTAGTTAGGATTTCTATTGCTGTGAAAAGACACTATGACCACAACAACTCTTGTAAGAAAACATTTAGTTGGGGTGGCTTACAGTTTCAGAGGTTCAGACCATTATCATCATGGCAGAGATCATGGCAGCATGGAAGCAGACATGGTGCTGGCTACATCTCTATCAGAAGGCAACAGGACATCAACTGCGACACTGAGCAAAGCTTAAGCAAGAGACCTCAAAGCCTGCTCCCACAGTGACACACTTCCTCCAACAAGGCCACAACTACTCCAAAAAGGCCACACCACCTAAAAGTGCCCCTCCCTATGAGCTTATGGGGGCCAATTACATTCAAACTATGACACCTTTAGACATTTGATTTTTGACACCAAACCAAAATTATAGAATGGAAGAAAGTAAGCATCTTCAATAAATTGTGCTGGTCTAACTAGATGTTGACATGTAGAAGAATGTAAATAGATCCATATCTATCACACTGCACAAAACTCAAGTCCAAGTGGATCAAAGACCTCAACATAAATCCAGATATACTGAATCTGATAGAAGAGAGAAAGGGGAATAGCCTTGAATGCATTGGCACAGAAGACCACTTCCTGAACAGAATACCAATCACACAGGCACTAAGATCACAATAAATGGGATCTCATGAAAATGAAAAGTTTCTATGAGGCAAAAGAAACCATTAATAGGACAAACTGGCAGCCCACAGAATGGGAAAAGATCTTCACCAAATGCATATATGAACGAGGGCTAATATCCAAAATATATAATGAACTCAAGAAACTAGACATCAAAAAATCAAATAAAACAGTTAAAAAATGGGGTACAGATCTAAACAGAATTCTCAATAGAAGAATCTCAAATGGCCAAGAAGCCCTTAAATAAATGTTTAAAATGTTAAGCTGTTGTTTGAATCTAGATGGTCTTTTAATTTAAAAAAAAAAAAAAAAAAACAGAGCCAGATATCAGGATGAAAGCTGAAAGATCAGAGAAGCAGAACAGCCAGCCACTAGCTCTTACTTCTACAGAATCCTCAGCCTCAAGACAGCAAGTTCCTGTTTCCTCACACCTTATATACCTTTCTCTGCCCTGTCATATTACTTCCTGGGATTAAAGGCATGTGTGCTTCTCAATCAAAGGCATGAGATCTCAAGTGCTGGAATTAAAGGTGTGTGCCACCACTGCCTGACCTCTATGTCTAATCTAGTGGCTGGCTCTGTCCTCTGATCCTCAGGCAAGTTTATTAGGGTACACAATATATAACCACACTTAGCTATCAGGGAAATGCAAATAAAATGACACTGACATTTTATCTTACACTTGTCAGAATGGCTAGGATAAAAAACACAAGTGAAAGCTAACTTCCTGAGGGAAAAATAAATAAATAAAGTTGACTTTATCTCAACTATTTCAGGGTCCCCTAATGATGGTGTCCCCAGACAGCAGGAAGTGATTTTAAGAGCATGATACCCGCATTCCCAAGAGGTGCGGCGTATGGTTTTTCATTTGTTCAATGGATATTTGTCATTGTTTAGGGGCATTGGTTACAAGTTGTTATTGGTCATGGTCAGGGAGGAAACTAAACAAAGGAAATTAGATTCAGGGATCTCGTTCTGAAAAGAAAAAGGGGATATAGAAATGATAGGATAAAAGGGTAGATTGTTGAATCTACTTTCAAACTAAAAAAACAGCTACTAGTCTCAAATATTTTACATTGGTATGAATTATTGTATATTGTACAAATTTAAGGTTATATTTGTTAGACTGTATTATATATTTATATTTCTTTTTTAAGGTATTGTACTTATGAAGCCCATTTAGAAATATAAAGTTCTATTCCTTGAAAGCTACTTAGGATTATTAAGAAATACAATTAGTCATCTGTAACAATCAAACTTACAGTCATGTTAGGTATGTTTTCAAGGTCAAACAGAGACATATTTTAAATAGATAGATGGCATTCAAATACTTCAGAAACCTACAGAATATGGCATTTAAAATGTTTAAATAACATAAGACTTTTCACGATACTGAGACATGTCTGATACTGGCAGCACCGATTCACTTCAAAAGAGGATGATGGGCATCCAAGAACCTCCATATGCAGTTTGCTTTCATTTGTGGCAAAGTTAGCCACTGGGCACGGAAACTGCCCTTGACTTTGACTGTTGACAATGTGCTGTCCAAATTGGACAAGCAGGACATAAAAGAAGGCAACTACCGAACTTTGCCAAGACAAGGTAGGATAGTCCTTCAAAATTCCTGCCTCACAGAAAAGTCTGTCAAATATTCTAGGCCCATAGGCTGAATATGAATGCCCCAACGTTGCAGAGGAACCTGGGGTGACTATCCAAGCAGCCAGATATGTCTGTCGTTTCATAGTTTTGGAAGTTGCTTGCTATGTACTTCCTGTTTACTCAGGTAATATCATATCCTTCTCTGGTCTCTGATGGGGTTGAAGATTAGACAGTTATAGTTATAGTTTTCCATAGTCATGATAGAAAGTAAATCAGGTACAAAACTTTGGACTCATCAAGATAGTACAATATAGGATAGATAATAGAGTATTTTCTTTGAATTTGCCAAATACAAATGGACTGGACATTGTGAATATAATTCTTACTTGGTAATTGTTCTTATTGTATATAGTTTTACTATGTTAGAGTTAAAGCCTTGCCTTTTTATTTAGACAAAAAGAGGTAAATGTTGCAGGAGATTTGTTTGTGTTGCTGTTCTGAGACCACCAATGGAGTCAGACCTCGGTTCAAAGGGTGGAGTCCACACTAAGCTGGCTGGAATTGACCATAGATTTTTCTGGCTGACAGAAAGAAGCTAGAAGGACACAAAGAAGGAGGAACTAGTGGAGATGTGAGGGCCTTTTTGAGCAGGGAAGGTGGAGAAGAGAGCAGGTGATCATTTCTCCATCTTCCATGGATCTCTCAGGTTTATTTGCCTAATATTTAACTCCCTAGGTTTTTTTTTTAAATAAAGCAATAAAAGAAGTTACAATAACAGCTCATGATGGAGAAGATGTGGAGCAAGGTACACACTTATCCACTGCTTGTGGGAGTGTAAACTTGTACAGCCAATTTGGAAATCAATATGGCAGTTTCTCAGAAAATTGGAAATAGATCTACCTCAAGACCCAGCTATACCACTCCTGGGCATACACCCAAAGGATGCTCAATCATACCACAAAGATACTTGCTTAACTATGTTCACAGCAGCATTATTTGTAATAGCCAGAATCTGGAAACAACCTAGATGTCCCTCAACTGAAGAATAGATAAATAACATGTTGTATGTTTACATAGTGGGGTATTACTCAGCTGTTAAAAACAATGATATCAGGGGCTGGAGAGATGGCTCTGAGGTTAAGAGCACTGGCAGCTCTTCCAGAGGTCCTCAGTTCAATTCCCAGCAACCACATGGTGGCTTCATAACTATCTCTAATGAAATCTGGTGCCCTCTTCTGGTGTGCAGACATATAAGCAGACAGAACACTATATACGTAATAAATAAATTTAAAAAATGATATCAGGAAATCTGCAGGCAAATGGGTGGAACTAGGAAAGATAATCCTGAGTGAGGTAATCCAGACCCAGAAAGACAAACATCGTATGTACTCACTCATAAGTGAATATGAGTAAAGTAAAGTAAAATAAAGGATAACCATGCTACAACCCACACACATAGAGAAGGCTCAAGGGGGGTTGCATAAAGCTCACTGTGAAGGGGAAATAGAATGAACATTGCCAGTGGAAGGGGTGAGGGGCCTGTAAGGTGGGATGGGGATGGGAACAGGGGGGATCAGATGGGGGGAGAATGGAGGGAGAGAGTACTGGAAGAGACAACTGAAATCTGGGGGCATCTCTGGGATGAGCTAGAAACCTAGAACAATGGAAACTCCCAGGAATCTATAAGGGTGACCCTAGATAAGACTCCTAGGCAAAGGGAATATGAAGCCTGAACCGACCATCTCCTGTAACCAGTCAAGACTTCCAGTGGAGGGTTTGGGACACTAACTCAACCACAAAACCTTTTGACCTAAAATTTGTCCTGCCTACAAGATATGCTGGACTAAAGATGGTGCAGAAATTGTGGGAGTAACCAACTAATGACTGGCACAGCTTGAGACCCTGAGAGGGATCCCACCCCTGATGACCAGGACCCAGAGGTGGGATCCCCGGAGACCTAGGATAGAATAAAACATGAATGCTAAAAAAAAAAAAAAGAAATGATTTGTTATTCTGCTGTACTCATAGATTGGTGCCTAACCCAACTGTCATCAGAGAGCCTTCACCCAGCAATTGATGGAAACAGAAGCAGAAACCCACAGCCAAACATCAGGCAGAGCTCAGCGAGTCCTGTGGAAAAGGGGGAGGAAGGATTGTATGACCCAGTGGTATCAAGGGCATCACAAGAAAACGCAGAGAATCAACTGACCTGGGCTCACAGGGGCTCACAGAGACCGAACTGACAACCAGGGAGCCTGCATGGGACTGACCTAGGCCCTTTGCATATATGTTACAGTTGTGTAACTTGTTCTTCATGTGACACTCCTAACAGTGAGAGCAGGGGGCTGTCTGTGACTGTGTTGCCTGCTTTGGGGACCCATTCCTCCTCCTGGATTGCCTCATCCAGCCTTAAGAGAAGAGAAGCTGCCTAGTCTCACTTCAACTTGATACACACTGGCTGGCTGATATCCAGGAGAGGCCAGTCTGCACTTGAAGAGAAATAGTGCAGGAGGAGTGGATGGGATGGGGTGCGAGTGGGGAGAGGGGAGGGGTGGGGAAGAACTGAGAAGACGGGAGGGAAGGGAAACTTGGATTAGAATGAAAAAACAAAAAAAAATGAACAAACAAAAAAGATTATATAAGGAGAACTTGTCTCAAAAAACAAAAAAAAAAAGAAGAAAAGAAAGAGGAGACAAGTTAAGCTTTCAGGGCTGGGGAGATGGTTCACTGGATAAAGTGCTTTGCCCATAAGCTTGAGATGGGAGTATGGATCCCAAGGTCTCAAGTAACAGCTGAGCAGTCCTGTTGGCTGCCTGTATTATCAGCATTTGAGAGGCAGAGATGGGATTCCCAGGGCAAGCCAGACTAGCTAACTTGGTGAACTGTAGCTTCAATCCTCAGGTTCTGCCTCAGTAAATAGAGTAAGAGCAGTGGAGGAAGACAGCTAATGTGAACTTCAGGCCTCCACATTTATGAGCAAACAGAGGTATGCACATGCATGTGCACCTGTACACGTGTATATATGTTGCATGATTCTTTGTGGAATAAGCACTCCAACACCAATGAGAATGGAAGAGAGATGTCACCAGTGGACCAAAGCCAGGATACCTCCTGAAAGGCTTTGATAAGTACATCATTTCTCTCTTCTCTTTCCTCCCTCCACCCCCCCATACCTCTCCTTTCTCTTTCAAATTTATGACCTCTTTTTCCATCAATTGTTATTGGATGCATATATGTAACATATCTGGAGATCATTACTGACAAGCACAACTGACAGAAATGCAGAAAACCAGCCAGTACACACATAAAAATAAATAAATGCTTTCTAATATTATCCTGGGATCTTGCTGCAGTGTTACATAGTTTTGCACTATTATTCTTTATCATTGTGTCCTACAATATAGGACCACAAGTTGGTTATACAAACTGCAAATTCTTCTTTAGGAATGGTGTGCAGATTTGTGTACCTGTGTGTGCATGAGGAAGACATTGGGTATCATTCTCTATTGCTGTCTGCCTTGTTGCTTTGAGACAGGATCTCTCACTGAACCTGAAGTTCATCAATTTGGCAAGGCTAGCTAGCCGGCATGTTACCAGGATCTAGCTGTCTTTACCTACCCAAGCTGGGATTACAGACATGTGTGGCCGTGCCCAGATTTTATATAGGTGATAAGGCTTTGAACTCAGGTCCTCATACTTGCATAGTAAGCACTCCTACCATCTGAGCCATCTCTGCAGCCCCAATGTAACTTATTAGGTTGATTTTATTTAAGGTTAAATCCAATCATTTTAGGAAATGTCTAAAATGCACAGTGAACAATGGAGTCCCGTTTTACACAGACAGAATTCTGATTCCAGCATCTCTGAAGTATGGACTCCATGATTTTGCCTTTCATGCTCATCTCTGCTAAGTTATGGAGTCAGTTCTGACATAGGTTGGCAAGCAGGCAAGCAAGCAGGTGGACAGGCAAGCAAGCAGGCAGGCAGGCAAGCAGGCAAGCAGTCAAGCAAGCAGGTGGACAGGCAGGTAGGCAGGCAGGCAAGCAGGCAGAACGGTCCCTGGAAAACAGCTCTAAATTTCTTACCACTGTGTGCTTGATCTCTGATGTGTCCACCACAATGGAGCTGTCTCTAAGTCTCACATCCCCACAGGGCTCTGACTTGGTACTTGTATCTTCTGTTTCTCTATTGCATGCCTGGCCCTGACTGTAGGTTACCATGACTCTGTCCACCGTGTTCTTGCTTTCCAAAAGGGAGCATTATGATCCACTCGGTTAACAATGTACCTGAAGATTGGCAAAGAGACCACTTCTTTATAGACCATGAATTAGTCACATACATAAAACCAGTCATAAGAGACACCAATACAATAATGAAGGTGCTCACACCACAGTCAGCATACAACTAGGTTACCCCTTGGTGGGATTTTGGGTACTATGATCCCATGATAAATACATGCTCTTTAAAAATTAGCCTCTAGGGCTGGAACTGGACCTCAGTTGGAAGAGTGCTTGCCTATCATGTATGGGGTCCTGAGGTCCTTTACTGGCACAGCATACCAGGCATGGTAGCATACGCCTATAATCCCTGTACTGGAGAGGTAGAGCAGAAGGACTTGGAATTTATGGATGGCTTTGAGAAAACTTGAATAAATGAATAACTAAAACGAGCCTTTAGAACTGCCTAATATTTTAGTGTTTGTTGGCAATTCCTGTGGCCTTCACATGCCTCTTGGCTTAGAGAATTCTTTGCAACATGCCTCTGCACTGGTTTTAAATAGCATCTTTATTCTTTCTCCTTTTCATCCTTGGCCTTTCACTAAATAAACTTAAAACATTTTCAGAGCATTAAGATTTTTTTCCACCTTAAAGTTAGAACTGAGATAGAATTTCACAGAAAGCAGGAGGCTCGCTAACATATGCTGCAGGATCTCATCCACAGGTTTGCAGTGTGGATTCTCTCTCTCTCTCTCTCTCTCTCTCTCTCTCTCCCTCCCTCCCTCCCTCCCTCTCTCTCTCCCTGTGTGTGTGTGTGTGTGTGTGTGTGTGTGTGTGTGTGTGTATCCTGACTGTGTGGTGCTCTGAGACAGTCAGCCCACATGTGAAGCCTTATCCCACTCCCAAGAGCTGCTCTATGAACACAGCAGCAGTTTGTTTACACTGACATCTTCAAGAACATTTGAATACTTGCTTTAACTGCATAGCTCACTCTTCCTTTCTAGAAGGGCTGTGGGATTTAGCGATTTGGTGAGTCACCAGAAAGATCTAGGTGAATTCCACTTTTGGTATCATCAGTCTGTGGATCTCTTGAATATTCACAGCTTCCTGAGTAAAATTTAAAGTATCTTTTCTTCTCTTCTCTGTTCCCCTGCCCTAGGCTGGTTCTGAACTCACTATGGAGCTGAGGATGACCTTGAACCCCTGATCCTCCTGCCTCCACCTCTAACATGCTGGGATTACAAGGGTTCTACATCACATTCATTGCGTGGTGTTTGGGATTGAACCTACAGCTTTCTGCATCCTAGGTAAGCACTCTGCTGCCTGAACTGTATTCCCAGCCCCAAAAGATAGCTTTAAAACAAAGGGTAAACCCATGCATCTCATGCAAATGTAAAATGAGTTCATAAAATATTTGATGAAACTCATTAATCAAACCATAGTACAGCCAGTTCAAGTAGGGTTAATGAAGCACTGACTTCGGTAGAATAAAGATTATTGAGGTGAATTTACAAGTGGTCATAAACTGGTGATGGCCCTGTCTCCCAGAGGTATGGTTGAAGGATCAATTGAAATGCTACCAGGCAGATTTCGTAACCAATGTTTTAATGTAAAAGCCCCAGTTTCCTGCATTTCTGACAAGGGGGGCTCAGGCAATCATTTCAATATGCCAACTAAAGGGATGAGATATGGTGAAAAGCAGAGTGGAGATTTATTCAATGTGGCTGCAGTGGGGACAAACAAATAAAGGGGTTCAATGACTCTCAAGTCTGCTTCAGGGTACTGACAAGAGCTTTAGGTTTACATAGAGGAAGGTCTGAGGCAAGGAACAAGAGGTCTGTGTAATTAAGCAGCCTTGGTCAAAGTGTGGCCTGGTTAATCATTATATTAGCTCTGGTTCAGCCGGGTGATCTAAGTAAGACATTATCCTAGCCATAGCTGGAGGGGATTGATCCGATTCTTCTGAGATAATCAAGTCCTGCTCCAGGGATAATTTGCCCTCGTGTGGGAGTGTGGTCCTTCCTGCCAGGTCCTCCTTGTTCTTGGCATCTAAGGTGCTACAGGTTTATGACCAGGACTTATTTTTGATGAGATGCGTTAGACAGAAGACCATCTTTGAGTGCTTATTATGTCTGCAGCATGCAGCAGGAATCTAACACAAAGTAAAGGAGATGGACCCCAAATGAAAGCAGAGGGGCTGGCTTCCCATCTGGCTTTTATTACCTTGTGGGCCCAGGTGAGGTGCGCCATTGCTTTTTGAGCAAAAGCAGCTTCTTCTAAGTGCCTGCTGTAGTTGTAGTCATGTATCTATGAGCAGAACTTGTTTTGTACCACTCTCAGCTATCACAATTAACGCAGACAAAGTGAGGAATGGCACCAGACAACCCAGAATGTCATATCCTACCCAGGGTACACTGTTCCCAGGCTAGATGCCCAACAGTCATTCTGCTTCTTCCAGATTTTCATGCAAACTTGTTATACCCTCTCTTGTCCTTATGGATATGATTTAATGAGTACATATAACATACTAGGTGTGGGATTGCACAGGTCTATTCCCATACAGATTTTATGATTGATATAAATCATGTCTTATGTTCACTAAATATACTGATAATAATATACTGATAATAATTTATTCAAACATTTTTAGATTATTAAATGAAAGAGGCTTTTGTAGTTAACAAGAAATGGTAACAATGTTAAGAACGCCTTTATGTTTTATGGAATAATTTATATAAAAAACAAAGGTAATTTTTATTAGAACAAGAAAGGCCACATTTTAATTGAACATCCCCAGCCAGACTAATTAGAAATAAACACATATTGCCTCACTATCCCTGCCCGGTCGGTATAAGTACAGGTTATATAGGACATCTCTCTTTCTCAGTCTTTGTTTTTAGACAGGGTCTCACTATGTCACCCTGGCTGGCCTGGGACTTGCTAGGTTAGACCAGGCTGGCCTCCTACTCATAGAGATCCACCTGCCTCTGTCTCCTGAGTGCTGAGATTAAAGGGTACGCCACCATGGCTGGCAAGATATCCTTTCTTCACTAACAATCATTCTCCTGAAAGGCATTTGTAGAACTGATTTCTCTCATCTTTGGCATACTGTTAAAACACACACACACACACACACACACACACACACACACACACACACACACACACACACACACACACCTGTCATCTTCGGGTCCCACATCAGGAGAAAGCAGGCTTCCCTAATATGTGACTTGCTCTGTGTTACCAAAATCAGGCTGCTTCTCATTCTGGCAGTAGGTGGGGTTGGGGACTTGGGTCTTGTTGGGGACTTGGGTCTTTGTGACAGCTGAGAAGGGGGAAAGGCTTCAGGAACTAGATGTGGAAGGTCAGGTTTTCAAAGCAGCTGGGAAGGGAGAGAGACTACAGGGGTTGGGTGGGGTCAGGTCTGAGTTCTAACGAAATGCACTCCCAACTTTGGACTGAGGATATATAGCTCAGTCAATAGAGTGTTTTCCTAGCATACATGAAGCCCTGGGTTTAATTCCCAGCATCATCTGAAATCGGACATGTTAGGCATGCTGTGATCTCAGCACCTAGGAAGTGGAAGCAGGAGGCTCAGGTCATTCTCCACCAAGAAACACTTCAGGTCAAAGACAAAGAAGCCCCGAGGGAGGAAATAGCAGATTTGATGGAGGGGAAGGTTGGGCTACAGGAGACATGACTTGGTGACAAACTGAATATTATTATGGATGGTGGAGGCACATGAATTTTCACATGTTGACGATGACTTCCAGACATGAGAATGTCAAAAGGCCGTTTTAGAAAAACAGAAGATTAATTTGGATTTTACTTGTGATTTTTCAAATGTGGTCATCCAGCTTCCTGCTGGAATGCCTCGTGACATGCCACACTTTCCCCACCATCAAGAAAGAGCTCTAGCCCTTTGGAACTGTAAGGCCAAATAAACTATTTGTCCCTTGAATTGCTTTTGGTCACAGTATTTTATCATAGCAGCAAAAAAGGAACTAGTACCTGGAGGATCACATTTCGCTCTGCAGTAAAATCCAACCTGTCAGTGTAGGATTATGTGAGGTAGTTGTGTTTGGACTCCATTAAGTTAATGGAAATTTGAAAAAATGCACTGCAAGGTGTGGTGGTGCACACCTGTAATCTCAGCAGAAGCAGAGACAGGAGGATCACGAGTTCAAGACTATCCTTGACTACATAGTGAGTTGGTCATAGTGACATAAGTCAGCTTGGGCCTCAGGAGACTCTGTCTCAGAACAACAGCAACCAAAATCATCAAGAAACTCAAATAAACAAAAAATCAAACAACAATAATAAAATCCTGTAAACCTCCTAAATCACAATCCAGTTTGTGTCCTAACCAGAAATACTAAAAGAAAAGCACAAGCTACATATTATTTTAGTTTATATTTCTTAAAACTATTTTATACATCAAGCTGACATGTCTTGTTCCTAACCCCACTGCTTTCTACAAAAGCCCTTAATTGACATGAGCTTTCTTGGAGGGGAAAAAAAATACAGCGGCAGCAAACAGTAATCAATGATGCCAGAGTCAGCCCTACTGGGGGCTCCAGTGTCTTGGACGATAGGGCACGGGTGGATGAATTCAAGAACTCCTCATCCATAAAGATCGAAAAGGAACAGCATGCCCAGTGAGTAGCAGGTGTGTTAGCCTTTCCAGCAGCTGGGGTGTGTATCCCAGAATAGGCCTAGCATATTATGGTGCTGATGATTACAGTTAGGGACTCATATGTCAATACAGAGCTAGCTCATGCAGGGCATGCAGGGTTCCCTGGGTTTCCCTCCCCTGCTCCCGCCACCCCCACCCCACAGCTTTCCTTGCCAGTGTGTGTGTGTGTGTTGCCTGAGACTGTTTGGCTTCTAAAAGCTAAAAAAAATAAGTCTCTCTCACGTGCTGTTGATCAGTTGCCAGCTGCTTCCTTCTTCTGGGTGTCCTTGCCGTCTGTCTGTCCTTGGGAAGGACAGGTATTGCTGCCAAAGAGGGTCCGAGAGGCAGCCTGGAGCCCAGAGGCACTGGATTGATATCAGAGTCTGATATTTTAAGATGATTGTCAGTTGCCTCCTTTCCTGGCACAACTTTCTAGAGATACTCTTGGCTCAAAATAAAATTAAGAAGTTCAATATCCACACATATAGCTGAAGATCTAAATTATAATATAATTATAAAATAAGGATGGATGTGGCATCTCTTCTGAATTTGTATGCCTTTATTCTCTATTATAATCCTGCAGTTTGTTCTAATATATTTTATGATCATTTGAGACAGAATCTCCCGTAGTCCAGGCTGGCTCCGGACTTGGTATATAACTGAGAATGACCTTGAACTTCTGATCTTTCGGCCTCTGCCTCCCAAGTGCTGGGATCACAGACATGTACCACCCTACCTCATTTACTCAATACCAAGGACTTAGCCCAGGGCTTTCCATGCTAGATGAGACCTCTACCAACTGAACTCTAGCCTCAAGCCAGGTTTTTCCTTCATGAAACCAATATGATATACATCTCCAGCACAACTCGTGCACCTAAGTCCTGCACAAGAAAAAAGAACATCTAACAAAGGCTGAGTTCAGCACAATTAGGAATGACTTATGGAGTAGTGAATTCTGCACTAGCTTTACCCAGCAAATGGTAAAAACTGCTGGGACTCAGTTCTCATTCTCTACCAAAAATTCATAACCGTAAAAAATTCTTTAAGTAAGCAAGAACATTTAATTTTGCCAAACATAAAGGAACCAACAGTAGAGTCCTATCTTAGGAACACAGTATCTGGAAGGTGGGGCTCTTACCTAAACCTCAGAAACTTCGTAGGTATGAAGAAGCCTTCCTGAGCAGGATCTGTGCACTGAAAGGTCTCAGGCCTTGATTAAGTATCAGCAATCTGTAACAGAAAAAACTGTGAACTGTGGTGAGCCTTAATCAGAAGGGCAAGCTTATGAATGACCAGAACATCCATGAAGTAAGTCACTGAAGAGATAGTACGAGTATTGGTTCCTACTAATTCAAGCCTCATGTATTTTTTGGGCGCGGGGGATTGGGGGGTGGGACTCTTCACTGGTTTCTTCACCTGTAATTTCTACTTTTTGTTATCATTAGAATGTACTTTGAAAATAATAATACTGGGTATAATGTAAGCACAATAAATAAGCTATGACTAGATCAGGCTTTAGAAAAGGGTGTGCATTTCCTCGTAGTGAGTGGTAAGTTTCTACCATTTGTTGAGTAGAGCTAGTGCAGAATCTAGCACACCATAAATCATTGCCAATTTTGCTGGATGTAGCCTTTGCTAGACGCTCCTTTTTCCTTGTGCTGACTGTATTCTATGCTTTACTTCTTAGCAATTATCATACATACATATATAATTTCCATGTGTCTGCTTTTCTTCTCGACTAAGCCCTTAATTTTAAGGGCACAGAGAACATCATAGACATTTCTGTGGCATTGTGGACAAGAATAGATGTGAATGTTGGCAAAATAGAATCAGGAAGCTTCTTACCCAGGCTTGGATGACAAGACCATTTACTGAGATAGGAGACATGGCTGCCTAAACATGAGCTGAATCAGGACAATAGACATGCCAAAATGGAATGGGAAAAAGACCATGAGTCCCCACCCAGCCCTACACAAAGAACTACAGGCAACTAAGGAATGCTGAGAACAGGAGAAAGAGTCTTCTCCAGGGAAGAGTACACCAATTGATTATCCAACAACAAATGGTCATCCCTGAAAACATACATCCAAGTAAAATTATACAGGCTGACTAGGTTGTATTTATATATTTGGAAATATATAAATGTGTGTGTGTGTGTGTGCGTGTGCGTGTGTGTGTGTGTGTATGAACAACTAAAAAGAGGCCAAGATGTAAAGAAAGATCAAGGGGTTCATGGGAGGGACTGGAGGAAGGGAAGGGAGAAATGATGTAATTATAATTTCAAAAAATAAAAAAAAATTGTAAAAACGTCAGTACTATCCATATGGAATATATAGATATAGAAAAACAAACACAGAGATAGACTAGAGACTTTTAAGAACTTAGAGAAAAGGGGTAGGAACATGTATTAGGGACTGAAGACAGAATTCTAAGTCTGGGATGCTTAAAGCAGTATCCCATTTAGAAAATCCTGTGAACCCTGCTAAGTATCAGATAGATAACCATTGTCATAAATATTTTATTTTCTTTTTTATATGCATTATTTTAACATACATGTGTTGAAAGCTTAGTATGTTTTAGATGGCTAAGGATACAAAAAAGGACAAATAACACAAGAGTCCAGTTCTTGAAGAGCTCAAAGTCTTTTAAGACAGCAGGTATGGCTTTGGTGGGACAAAGACTGTAGGGCCCAGAGGTGATGCATGAATGCAAGGGAGGAGTGTTTTTGAGACACAGCAGGGTCATTGAACTCACATATGTAACTGAGTTCACATATGAACTCACAGCAGCTGTGAGAGTATGCACAAAGCCTGCACAAGCTCAAGACATAAAATCCCAGCATGGAGAGGGGAGGTTGGGCACGAAGACCCACCCCTAGCTGAGGAGCTACTGGCAATGGATAATCAGAGGGAGTGTCAGTTTTCTTTATTTTATTTAATTAACATTTTTTCATTTATTTTACATACAGACCAGTTTCTCCTCTCTCCTCCCCCTGTGTTTCCTTCCCCTACCTCCTCTTCCCCACTACCTCCCATCTACCCCCTCCCCATCCACTCCTCCTGTCTCCATTCAGAAACAGGCAGGCCTCCCATGGGCTTGAACAAAGCATGGTAAGGGTGTGGCCTTGGGTAGGTTAAGCAGGTTTCACTGTAAGGCCACATATCTGAGAATACATGAGTAGCAAACATTAGACTTGATATTTTTAAAGAGAACACACAAAGTTGGGTGGGTAAGAGGGGGTGATCTGGGAGATGTTGGGAGAGGGCAGTGAATATTATCAAAATATATTTGTGAAATCCTGAAAGAACTAATATAAATAAGGACAAAAAAACCCCATCCCAAAACAAAATGGTATCTGAATTGAGTATTAAAGTGGCATTTAATTGACCAAAATGACAATGACTTTTAAAAAAGATTGAAAAAGGCAGTTCTAAGTAGGAAGAAACTATAAAAAACAATAGAAATGGAAGTATAAAAATTAGTAGAAAAAGAAGTATAGGTGGATTCAGGACAACAGGTAAGATATAAGAAACTCCAAAAAGTTCACAAAGGTTGTTTTCTGACCCCAAAGAAGGCATCTACAGTAGACTTGTTCAGATTTCTGAGATAGAAAGGTACCCACAGCTAGTAGGGAGGGTATAGATGATGAAGCCTAAATTATAGCAAGGACAATGTAAGTTTTGCAATGATTCAGCCTTGTATGCCTCACGTGGGCAAGTTGGATTGCAGATACCAAGTTCATAGCAAATGTTCATCTGACAGTGACATGCAGAAGAACTAAGGACCCAGATCACCCACCAGAAAGTGAATTAGCAGGTAATCACAAACCCTTCTTTCCTTTTCAACATCTAGGGAACTCACGGCTCCTGGATCATACCTCTTTGATTGCACTGATGTAACATACTCTACCTGGACTGCCCACTTCCCCCTTCACTATCTGGTACATTCATGCTTTAAACACCCTTTGAAATATCATCTGTCCTCTGCTGTGTTTCCTGAAGTACAGTAAATGCTTTCCAACATTTTCCTGTATCCATATGTTTTCTCCTGCTTGTTCAATACAGAATGGAGAAAGAAAACATGCTCTTGCTAGGGAAGCAGGTAGGCTAACTGCAGATCTTCACCTCTCCCTCCATTTCTGCAAGTTCAACCCCCCATTCTCATCCTCACCTCTGTAGAAAACGAACAAACAAACCAACAAACCTGTGGCAGCCTGCCCCTATCTCACCTCTAGTGGATTCCACAGATCTTCAAGCCCCCCTCCCCCAACTCACTGCTTTGCCCCAGCCTCCAAATCCAGCAGGTACTCCCTGTAAAGCCACAGACAACACTGGCCAGGAAAACAGGTAGGCTAAGGTCAGATCTCCACCTCTCCCTCAGCTCCTCCAAATCCAATGCCCTAGTCTCATCCCCAGCTCTGGAGCAGACCACCTGCTGCAACATTCCTTCTCACTCTGTCCCCATCTCCAGTGGACCCCTTAGATCTTCCATTCTTTTGCTTTGTCAACACCCCCACCTCCAGCAGGCACTCCCTGGGAAGTCACAGGCCACACTGGGAAGGAAAACAGGTAGGCTGACTGCAGATCTTCACCTCTCCCGCTGCTCCCTCAAGTCTAATCCCCCAGTCTCATCCCCAGCTCTGTAGAAGAACACTGCTGCAGGTTCCTTTCCCCCTGTCCCCATCTCCATTGGATCACACAGATCTTCTTCAAACTTCCTTCCACCAAACATTGCTTTGTCTCAGCCCCAAACTCCACCAGGCACTCCCTGGGAACATACAGACCACTCCAACCAGGGAAGCAAGTCCACTAACTGCAGATCTTCACTTCTCCCTCCACACCTCCAAGGCCAATTCCCCAGTCTCATCCCCAGCTCCCTAGCAGACTGCTGCTGTAGCCTCTCCTCACACTCTGCTCTCGTTCCCAGGGGACGAACTAAGATGATCCTAGTGGAACACCTTGCTTCTTGTGAAGTTCCTCCACCAACCCAAGTCCATCCCCATCGCTAAGTCTCTGGGTACAATAACCAGAAACTCACTTTACCTGGAACCCCCAGTGTCGATATCTATCAGGACCCCAGAATATTTTCTTACAGGCAATACACAGCCACCACACTTCTCCAAGAACCAGAGAGGACACAGAAACCAAGGAATGAAACACCCACCCAAGAAAAACAAGAAAATTCAACAAAGACAATTCAGCACCTAGAATTACAATCTGAAAATCCCAGATGCCTAGACGCCAGCATAAAAATACAATCAATAACATCTAGGACAACATGTCTCCAACAGAGCCCAGCAACCCTACTGCAGCAGGCCCTAAATATTCCACATAGCTGAAGCACAAAAGGAAGACCTTAAAACAGCCTTTATGAATATGATAGAGGTCCTTAAAGAGAACAATAATAAATTGCTTAAAGAAACCCAGGGAAACACAGTGGGAGGAAAGGAAGAAAACTGTGTAAGACTTGAAAGTGGAAATAGAATCAATAAAGAAAATCCAAACTGAGATAAAACTGGAAATGAAAACTTTAGGAGCTCACCAAGATGCCAAGTCTTCATCTGCCGAAGGAGCAGAGGGACACAGCCTTCTTGGAAAAGACTGACACCCAGCTAGTTCACTCCAGTTCCTTTACGAAAACATGTACAAGGTTAACTGGGGCTGGGAAAGGTTCCAACCACCAAAGCCATCTTGCTCCTGCTGCCCATGAGAGCGGACAACCCAAACAAATCTCAGTCCCTTTTGATCATGGCAAGCCACAATCAAATGTAAGAACCCCAGGTTTGCCAGGAGTATCTTAGGACTAAGGTCAGTGCATCTGCAAGCTCTCATGTAGCAGTAGCACCAAGTGCAGATTTTCCAGAGACATTTCTTCAAGATCTGAATAGTCTCAAAACAATTTCGCAGCCTCTACTGATTAACCCAAACATAACAAAGGCTTTGCTGAAATATTTCTCTCAAAGCCAGACACAAAGGCTTTATATATTTCACTTAAAGCCAGACATAAAGGCTTTACTATACATTTCACTTAAAGCCAGACATAAAGGCTTTACTATACATTTCACTTAAAGCCAGACATAAAGGCTTTACTTACATATCACTGCATTTCATCAACAGAATACAAGAGATGGAAGAGAGAATCTCAGATGTTGAAGACACATTAGAAGAAATGAATACATTGGTCAAAGAAAATGTTAAATCCAAAAATCTCCTAGCACAAAACACCAAGGA